AAAAGCAAACTTCAAACAAGGGTTACTGCAAAACCAAAAATTATCCCAAAAAATTGAAAGTATATCTGAGTACTTCTATCCTTAAACTCTATCTGAAATATAGTTATTGGGTTCTTCTTCGAGTACCGACAAGCGATTTTGGCAGTTGTTTTAGGGTACCGCAGAGCTAAAATTGAAAAAGAGGCGCAGGGAGTCATCGAGAAAAAATTTCATAAAATATTTATAACAAGAACATATCTGCTTTTCATGTCATCAATGAATTGTTCAAGGCCCTAACTATAATTCTATTGCAAAGGATCATTCGCAGATAATTTTCGACTTACGCTGGCAAGCCGTGAATATGACAGAATTTCGATATTTCGAATATCGAAATTTGGCTCTATCCGCACTCGACCGTTTTTACTTAATTACTCTCATGAAAAAAAAAAAGATTAGAAAAAACTAACACTGTTTTGGTTTCATTGGTACAAGGGTCTATCAATATAGAAAGTATGAGCGAAATCGATTTTTTAGCTGTGTCCGCGATTTTGATGATCATATCTGATTTGGAAATAAAAAATCTGTTATTGGCCGCTTTACGAAGCCCGGAAAATTAGCAAGATCAGTTAGTGGTTTCCTCAACTTTTTAAAAATTTCAAATGGCCAAAATGGTGATCGGAATTTATACGATGAAGTTTAAAAAGCAAGCAGAATTGATGGTTACCCTTGTATTCTCGAGCCGTAATGCATTGTTCAAAGCGAGAATTTGTTGTGAGTGTGTCAGAGAATGCCCTTGAAACGCTTCATGAGTCAGCGTCAACGATTAATTGATAAACAAGAACAGGAATAAGGAGTTAGAGTAAATTCATGCTTGACCATATTGAATTAAATAAAAAATGCCAAATCCTGAACTTACTCGAGGAGGTGGTACCATTGACAATAAACACAGACGTTTGTTTTCACCAAGACGTAAGAAATCTACTTGGGGAGGGCGTTTACATAAGTTTCGCACGATGGCATCGCTTTCAAATTCCTTCTTGGTAATAAACCTGAAATAGGAAATGGAAAATGTCTTGCAAGAGGAACCAAATTTTAATTTTCTCGCTCCTACTGAGGTTCTGCAACTGTTCAATCGCAAGATAATTTTCCATTTGGTTACGGAGCAGGTCTCAAATTCAAAATCCCATCAACAGTCATGGTGTAAGTTTATCGATCACGTGCTTCGACTGCCATACAAGCCTTCCTCTTTGAAGAGACTAGCAGCAATCATAAGGCACGATTGAGTGGACACTAAACATTTTTAACTCTCAAACTGCGCACTATCCTCAATGTCTTACCTGGCTGCCACGACAATTTCAATAGAGAAACGAAAGGAAGCTGGTTCCCCTAACTCAGAATGAGCTACTCTCATCATATTGCAACCGATAAAAGACTGTTTCTTTGACCCGGAAAGTGAGTGGGCTCGGATTATTGATACAGCGTGTCTGTCACTGTCAACAACAACAACTGTTTTAAGGACTACATCCTTCCTACATCCCTCCTACATCATCCCCCATTACTTTTGACCGTTACCTTCGGGTGAAACCTGTATATGTTTTGGGCGTTTTCTTCTCTGAGCGTATTCTCGCTTTTCAAGCACTTATTTGGACTTACTTATAATGAACTGACATGATATTCTTACCTCAGTTTTAAAACATCTGATTTACTTTGAATAACTTTGAGGCCCTTGCCAAGTGAAACTTTTATGAGGTCGCCTCTGCACAATGGTTCCCTAGAGTTTCCATTGCCATAAAGGAGGACATCATATGTAGAAAATGTATTTTGTCTGACTAAATCCTTCAAGTGGATTGGGTAGCAACAAAATCTCAACTGAGGGTTCTCACTGGAGGCGTAATGTGACCTGCACAAACATGCAGAAAAACCCGCTTCTTGGGCCGTCCGTCCAGGACGGAAAAATTTTCGCTTTCGAAAACCCTTCTTTTTCAGCAATATCCAGTAACTGTTAAAAAGTAAAAGAGTCGACGGAGCATCATTATTGGTGATTGATAAATGTGTATGTATTAATTCTACGAAAAGCACACGTTGTCACAGAGTGAGACAACATTTCAATGGAAAGTACATAATTGTTTTTTTTTTTTTTTTAAATTACCTTTGCAAATCATCTTTAACTTTTGCAGCTATACTGGTCGGAGCAAGATATTTGGGTGAAAGGGAAGAAAGCATTATTGGGTAACAGATATTTTGGATAAAGGTAGATTTTAACTCCCAAATATGGCAAACAAAAATCATTCCGTTATACTTACTCACTGAAATGTGCAACCTGGAATGTAACCACCCCATCCATAAGTACCACCGGCTTTGGCAGCTCCTCTGTAATCTCTTGCCACTCTGACATCTCATTTTCGGAATTCAAGTACACTATTACATCACTTGACGAATATTCTGCGAAATGATTTTCGTGTGCTTCGAGAGAGATAGGGAGGGTTATCGAAGCTGGTTCAACCAGCTGAACAAATTCAGGACATGTGACGTGAAGTACAGGTCCAGTCACCATTTCACTACTGTTATACCACTGTTTTGGAACTTCTTGCACCTTATGGATGAACCATAAAGATATAGTTGTGCAGCTATTTATCGGTTAATCAGCGTTTTCCAAATCATTTTTTATCGATAGTAAAATAAAAACTGCTACTTTGATTGACGTACCTTCATGGTTAACTGAAAGAAATCCACGCTTTGCGGAGGAATTGTTACACTGACATCGGGGTACTCTGGAATCGTACAAATCAATTCGCGATTTGGTAACGCGTCAGTTGAATAAGTATAGGACCTGAGTCGGCAGATGACGGCATAAGTGGAACAGCAATTCACTTTGGCGAGAGCATAGGGGACCCTTAGCTGTGAGAAGTCCTCCTGAGCATTTGGTAAATCTGAAAACAATAAAATACGTAATAATGATAAAGTATTATCGTTTGTCTCACGATATGGTCACTTATAATGTGGATCGTGACGTTTTGACTGCATACTGCTAGTCTTCATCAGGCGATAAGGTCATTTGTCATCCGTTCTCATTTCTAATGGTTATCCTATTTCTCTCTTGCAAAAGGTCACCAAGACTAGAAAACCAACCGCCGCTGCCGAGCCTGCTATCGACTTCAAATTCACCGCAGTGTTACCTTATGTTGAAAGTCTTTCCGAACAGCTACGCCGCTGCCTACAACAACAAGGCGTACGCGCCGTCTTCAAGTCGGAAACTACACTAAGATCTCAGTTAGTAGGAGCGAAAGACGCTGTTGATCCGCTCAAACAAGACGGCTTAGTTTAAAGGATTCCCTGCAAGTTCGGCAAAGTTTACCGTGCAAGAAAGAATAAAGGAGCACGACTGAGACATGTGACTAGCCCGTACTTAGACCTCCGCCGTTTCAGAGCTCGCCCACAATACCAGACACCAACCGCTTTAGAGTGAAGTTAAATTTATTGATCGTGATCCTCACTGGTACATTTGCCGGGTCAAAGAAGAAGCTATTCACATATGACTTCACCCTAACAACATCAACAGTGACAATGGAATAGAAATTCCTGAAGCGTGGATGCCCACGATAAAAAAACACAACAACATAAGAGTCGTACGACAGAGGACTGCCGAAAGAAAAACTCACTAACATCGCGGATCGAGACGCACCAATCACAGCTGTGGATTACCATACAATCACACCGGAGCATCCTGCTTTATAAGAAGAATGGAAACCAGTCGACCTTATCTTCTGATGAAAACTAGCAGCACGCAGTCGAAACGTCGCGATCCACATCGTAAGGGACCATATCGTAAGACAGACGATAATACTTTATTATTATTGTACTTTACCACGATGAATAAGCACAACCTTTTTCACGAAATACAATATTTGGTCTCAGTAAACCTTGCTTTTTACTAGAAAAAGACATAGGAACCTACGTAATTATTATGAAAGCAAAACATTCTTCAAAATGTTTGTTGCATTCAAAGAAACGAAAACTTGGAAGTCTTGAAAAACCTCATTTTTAAGTGATGTTTTAAAAAAGCATGAATGTATGTTTGTTTTGAACGTTTTACAGCTACAAAAGTGACTCAGCCTTATACTGACCCGATTCTTGCTGTACGTTTGTTGTCTCCAAATCTCTCCATTCATTGTTTTCTGGATCAGTTAACTCTCTCATCTTTACTTCATATCCTCTGAGTTTAGTAGCACAGTGAGATAACGCTACTGATACTTTTTCGCCAAAATCTCCCTCAAAACTGGAACCATACGAGTCTTCGTAAGATAGCTGGACGACATTGCTCACTAACGTCTCATCCTCTACCAGTGGCGGAAAGTTGTCTGTTGACTCCAACAAGGTGCATTTGAAGAGCACAGATTTCGACACAGCACTTTTCGGAAATGTTAGACAAGCGGCGGCGTGAATATCCTGAAGCAGCCATACAGTTCCTGCCGCGTCTATTGAGCGACTAAACAAATGGGGCAAGTGAAAGAAAGGATTAATGCACCAAATGTAAAACCTCTAACAAGGTGGAATAACAAGATGGAACACAATAAGTTCGAACTCGATAATGTAATATTATAGATACATAGTAATACAGATATTCAATGTAGATTGCCCTTTGAACTTTAAGGTTAAGATCAAAGAGAAATTTTGGTGCACGTCATGTTTGATACGTTTGGGCAATTGTTTAAGGCTTGAGAACGTGGCCAGCAGTGAATCAATGCAACATGGCCGTTGATTAAAATGATTGGTGGATTACAGAGAACAACTGTGCTTGGCAACGTTAGAAATCCCCGGCCACGTTTCATACACCTCAGGTCAGACGCGGTGACCTCATTTCGAAAGGAGACAGAAGCGAAACACTGTGTGCATACTGGAAAATAAGAATTTTATGATAACAGCAGGTAATAATGAAGATGATTATGGTGATAGTAGTGGAATAATTATAACAATAATTAAAAAACTATTTTGCTGAAGAGGAGGTGGCTAATGGTGAATATTTAAAGGAGCACTCTTAGGAAACCTCCCTATAATTTGAAAACCCAAAAAAACTCAGTTATTTCATTATAATATGAATTTTTAGCGATTAATAAAGCCTTTTCAATAATAATTTTAGTTAAAAGTCAATTGTAAGAAATAAACAACTTTTTTTGAGAGATATGTTTCCGCATGCTTATACCATCTTCAATCAATGAGTAACTGAACGTGATTAATTATATAACAGACAAGTTGATGAATAAAATATTTACAGTATGATGTAATACAAAAGCGGTACTAATTACAACGTGATACTAAACATGAAAGGTGTGAACTAAAATTCTAGAAAAGTGTTATAATGCTGTAATTGTTTGTTAAGCTCAGGTTTGATCTTATTTCGCCAATATAACGGGAATTACATCCCGCACAAGAAAATTGATAAACTACCATGCATTTTAGAGCATCAGGAGTACGATCTTTAACACTGAACATGTTTTTAATTTTGAAAGAAGTGAAAACTAGCTTAAGTTCCGAATTACAAAAGCGCTTAGTGAGTTGTCGGAGTTTAAGGTTCACTATTTTAGAATAATAGCCGACAAAAGGGAGTTTAAAGTAACGTGTATTATTATCATCAATGTTCCAGTTATTTTGAGAGGGGGACCCGTCAAGATACCGCTTGATAGTTCTTTCAATAATATGCGAAGGAAAAGAATTACGTTTTAAAGTGTCGGAAAGTTTCTTAAGATCGTTTTGAAGGCCGGAAGAGGTGTTGTTGATTTTGTAGATACGGTCAATAAGAGTTCGGATAATGCCAATTTTGTAGCATGATAGAATAAAACTAAAGAAATTTGTTCGGAGACTAGTGTAGGTTTTCTTTTATGAAAAACTGAAAAAACACAATCATTCGAAGAGTTGTCGATAAATATATCAAGAAAGGAGAGTTTACCATCATTCTCTTTTTCGAAAGAGAATTTTATGTTGGGGTACCGTGAATTAATGTAATCAAAAAATGACATAGCATCCTGGAAGACACAAACGTGTCGTCAACATAACGCCTATAAAGTGGAAGGCGAGTCCAATGGTTAAAATTATTTAGCCATGTTTCCTGGTGGAAACCAAGAAAAATATTAGCTAGGATGGGTGCTAACGGAGAACCCATCGCTATCCCTTCAACTTGATCATAAATTTTTCCATTAAAAAGAAAATGAGTCTCAGCTGTAGCGAATGAAACAGTTTCTTAAGGTCGTTATAATGGCGTTATATTTCTTAAAGTGTTATATTGGCGAAACTAGTCGCCATTTCTCTACTAGGATAAAGGAGCACACGGAAAGCGATAAAAACTAGCATATCTTTAAGCATTTCAACACATCTCCTTCTTGTAAAAACAAATACTCCCTTTCTTGCTTTAGTATTCTGGACTCTGCTAACAACTCAATTGATTTAAAACTCAAAGAAGTTTTTTATTTAAATACGATCAAACCTGAACTTAACAAACAATTACAGCATTATAACACTTTTCTAGCATTTTAGTTCACACCTTTCATGTTTGGTGTCACGTTGTAATTAGTACCCGCTTTTGTATTACCTCATACTGTAAATATTTTATTCATCTACTTGTCTGTTATATAATTACTCACGTACAGGTTGTCATTGATTGAATATGGCACAAGCATGTCGAAACATGTCTCTCAAAAAAGTTGTCTATTTCTTGCAATATTTATCATACTTGCTACTACTACGACCTTAAAAATCAATTCTAGGGCGAGAATTTACGATTTGAAAACCGTCCCGCCATTAATTTTTGAAATCACGGCCAACTTATCTTCGGTCAGCAAGCACTCCCATTGTGACTTAGATTACTTAGAACACTGTTGGCGTCATTTTATATTTATAGGGAAACCTCGTGAAATTTAGTGAAATAGTCTTATTCTTAGTGATATAAAAGCAATATATACGATCGAAATACTGCTTATGAAAATTAGCCACGAGCACGGCGCGTCGAATGAGTAATCTACGTTACGCTCAAAACTCGCCCCAGTCTTCTTGAGTCTGGCAATTGATTACGTTAACTAATGGCGGGTCAAAAGAAAATCGCGAATTTGACGATCTTCCCGTGTGAAAATTTGGAAAAAAAAATTCAGAGACGATTAACTAGTGAAGATTGCAAGTTTTTATGTAAAAATATTTGGATTTTTTGGGTTCCCAAATTACAGGAAAGTTTCATAAGAGTGCTCCTTTAACGAACTGCGAAAGTTTTAGTATAAACTAAAACAGATAGATGATATAACACAAAACGATTACTTTAACGCATTTATTCTTAAAAAAGTTCCAATATTTTCCGAAGAAATTCCCGCGCGAGTCGCTCGGAGTCGATCAGAGTGCGCCTTCAACGCTATCGACTGTTTTAATATATTTTGATATGTATCAGTTTTTAAAAAAAAAACTAATAATGACAGTACAGATAAGGAAATGAAGCAGAAGATATAGAGGATCAGAAGACAAAGGGATGTAAAAATGCATTCGTTGTCGGCATTAGGAGGTGGCAACAAGATTGGATAGGTTTAGTCAAAATGATCATTTGCCATCAAGTTAAAACTCACGATGTTTAAGAAACTAACCTCTCGGATTTGTTTGAAATAGAGTGCATTATGCTTTTTAACAAAGCATTCGACCCAATTTCCATCTCCTCCTGCTGTTGCGGATCCTCAAGCTTGCTGCCTCTCTTGGCCTGTGATTTACACTCCATGGGGTCTGATCTAGACTCAGGCCCAGATTCGTTTGGAGTACATTGCATTATGCTTTTTAACAAAGCATTCGACCTAATTTCCATCTCCTCCTGCTGTTGCGGATCCTCAAGCTTGCTGTCTGTCTTGGCCTGTGATTCACACTCCATGGGCTCTGATCCAGAATCAGGTCCAAAAGCACCTTGACAAACTGCTCTTGGGCTAGAGCTCTCCGAATTTCCTGGGTTTTATGAATAATTTAATCATAGCCACTTCAGAAACTATGAAACAGGCGGTTAATAGATATGAACTAAGAGAGATGGTGATTTAATCTTGGTAATGAAATCAAGAGAAACGTTTTTCTTGATGTCACGGGCGTGGGACAGGACACGTGTCGCATTTAAATCTTGTAATAGTCCGTTTAAGCAATTGTTTTTCTGTCGAGGGGCTATCGAGAAGCGAAGCTTCGCAGGCAAATATGCTAGTTTTAAGAACACCAAATTCCAAGGGGCAACTATCAGACCGATAGTTCCGAGACATAAACACTCTTTTGTCTTTATTGTTCACCACTAAATTTTCTTCCGCGCGCCAGTTTAAAAACAATCAAAACCCACAAAATGCAGATCAATCAAATATTCATTCATGCGTACAGCCCGTCACAATTGTCAATAATTCACAACCTTACATTAGCTAAATAATACGTTCTACCTGTCAGAATTGAAAAGTCACTTTTTCCGATCTGCTTAGCTTCGCGGTAGTCGAACCATTCAAAATCGTTCACAGATGAGTAGTATCCATCCGGGTATTTTCCGCGGACGGGCACTATCCATTCGGGTATTTTCCGTGGACGGGCACTATGGGCTGATAGTGTCACTCCACGGATGAACACCATCGCGTCACGTGATCAATTTAAACCAATAAGAATGGGAGAAAATTTAGCGGTGAACTGTAATTCATCATAGAGTCTCTGTGGCTCAGTGGTAAGGCGTCAGAGTGTGGAATCCGCAGCTCTGATGTTCGATTCCACATGGGGACTCAGAATTTTTTATTTTTGTTTAGTCTGTTCTGGTTGTGGTCCACTGTATCATAAAAAAATTTATACGAGCCGTACGGCCCGTTCACACAATCCCATCATTACAAAATTAAACCAAAATGAAAGCTGAAGTGTGTAGGGCCAATTCGAATGGGATGAACTGTCCGACCCTGCATGGCTCTGTAGCGGGTTGTGAATTCCAATTGCGGAATCAAATTTGAGATAAAACAAAAATAAAATTTATGTCGCGTTTACGGATAAATCGTGATTTTCTTCTTCTGAACCGAGGAAATAAAAGGAATAGGTTTCGTTGTAGGACATCGTTTAAGTTTTCCAGAACGTGATGCGATGAGATAAAATGATAAGAGTCGAGAACAGACAAGACGACCGAGTAGTCATGCGATGAGATACTTTGACTGGGTTTTTGCCGTGGCGGAAGGAAAAACATTTGACTCCTTATGGTCACGAATTACGGACCTCACAGCCCTCGGTCAGTAATTTGATACCACGAGCCAAATATCTTCCCGCCCGGCTTCCACTCTATCAATATGTAATTACGTATATGAGAACGATCCTTCGCAGTAAAGCACTATTTGAGCAATAGTGAAAATCAGACCTGAAAAAAATTTCAGGCCTGTACGGGACTCGAACCACTGACCTCTGCGATACTAGTGCAGCGCTCTACCAATTGAGCTAACAAGCCAACTGGGAGCAGGCCATCAAATTAATTCGATATAAACCCGTAGATGATAAATCAAACAACAACAAACATATGAAACATATGTGTGAACTGCGGTTATGAGACGTATATGAGAACGATCCTTCGCAGTAAAGCACTATTTGAGCAATAGTGAAAATCAGACCTGAAAAAAATTTTTTTCAGGTCTGATTTTCACTATTGCTCAAATAGTGCTTTACTGCGAAGGATCGTTCTCATATACGTCTCATAACCGCAGTTCACACATATGTTTCATATGTTTGTTGTTGTTTGATTTATCATCTACGGGTTTATATCGAATTAATTTGATGGCCTGCTCCCAGTTGGCTTGTTAGCTCAATTGGTAGAGCGCTGCACTAGTATCGCAGAGGTCAGTGGTTCGAGTCCCGTACAGGCCTGAAATTTTTTTCAGGTCTGATTTTCACTATTGCTCAAATAGTGCTTTACTGCGAAGGATCGTTCTCATATACGTCTCATAACCGCAGTTCACACATATGTTTCATATGTTTGTTGTTGTTTAATATGTAATTAGCTCTCCATCGCCTAGTGCGATACATTGTTTGGCATGCAGCAGTCATAATTATCGTTTCTCTCGTATGTAAGTAAAGGACTCAGGATTGTTTACAGTCAAATCAAGTGAAGCGTACCTTTCAAGATTACATTAATGAATTGATGATTTGAATATTGAACCCGATAACCGTATTTGATTGAAAAGGCGCGGAACTTTGTACGAATCAGAAGTCGATTTTTGATTTGAAAACGATCTGTGTTGATTCATTAATGTAATCTTGATGGGGTACACTTCACTTGGTTCGACTGTAACTTGAAAGACGGAATTGAGACGGTTTGGGTCATACCCCAGACTTGTTCCGAATTACTTTCGGATCAGACACTCTAAAGTTACAAAGGACTCTTGTTTCAGCATGCTTTTTTACAAATCTACCACAATCGTCTAATGTTTTTACTCTCGCAGATCGTATAGATGACGTCCGATATGTTTAGAACTGAAGGGTTTAAGCACTAGAAAGAAACTATACAAGTGTCACGACGATCATAGGAACACAAGGGATAAAAGGAAACCGCTTGAGTATATAAATAGCAACTTGATAAAGGTAAATTTTCAACTTACCAGAATCACGTAAGAAATATTCTCTGCCAGCTCTGTATTCCTCTTCCGAAATAGTTGTTTTGAGTCTCATCTCAGTTAACCCAAATTCCTCCAAAATTTCTTCTCTCACAAGATACTTTTGCGCCATCTCATTCAACAGGCCAGTAGAATAGCTATCCCATAGTTTGTCAAGGATTTCTAAGGATGTGCAGTGCGCAGTAACTATCAAGCTGCCCTGCCAAGTCCTTGTCAGAAGGACCTTCATTGCATTCAGATATTCCACAAATCCATTATGTTCTTTTTCTCTGTTAGGAGAAAAGGCTTCTAGATAACGGGCGGCGATTAAATTTAAAACTTTTTGTGATGAGGGCATCCGGTCTTCTGTTACATCTTTTTCCTCAGATTCAATCCCTATATTCCATGCAGTGGACTCTTTTGCTAAAGGCACAAAGACAAGAAAAATAAAATAGTTTCAAGCTTCACAATTGATAACACGAATAATTCCTATTAAAATATAAAAGAGGACTTGTCTTCTTTTCTTGTTGCCATGCTGGTTATTTGAAAGTTCTTCGCCGGTTTCAATTGTTTTAGGTATATTTCCATAGACCGCTTAAGGTAGAAGGCGGCAGGAACTCGCAGATGTCTACGAAGATGCATTGCAGCTATTAAAAATCCCATCAGTTTCCTCTGTGCGCGCGGACTTGCGAGTAATGTGTTGATATGCTTCCAAACTGGTTAAAGCATAATGAAAATGAAGTATGACCTGACGAAGAGTTGTTTTGTAAAAGCTAACCTTCACCAGGGACCTCTGTATTAACATCTAAACGTATAGGCTCTTCGTGGGTTTTTTCGTCTTCCCAAGAGCTAGGCGCTGAAAAATAAGACATTAATTCTTAGAGTCTGCAGCTTTCATTTACAAAAATATCGTTGGGCATGCAAAAAGGTAAAGTTTTGCATTATCATTGTTATTGAAAACATTCTGATAAGCAACCTAGAACGAGTATAAACTACTTTAAATCTTTGGATTTGGAAGCGATCCTCGTAGTAATGAACACTACTTAAGCAGTAGTTTTCATTCATTACTGCGAGGATCGCTTTCATATACATTTCTTTTAAAAACCGCTGTGCACATATATGATTTTTATAAATTCTCAGTTTTTAAATTCCTTCACACACTTTAAAAAGCCTGAGCGTTGGATGCTTCATATCCTGCAGTCCTTATTTCCTGAAGGAGCGTATTTGATTTCACGTTTTGATTGTTCTAACGAAAGTCAGTGCTGATGACGTATGTGCATCACTCCTTCATCCTCCCTTGGTGGTGCACTGAAAACATATCATTTTTATGCTTTCCCACTATTTTGAGAACTCATTTTCGATTTTTTTTGCCTTTAAAACAAATGTTATATCTAAAAAAGACTGCATGAGAATACTGCGTTTCTACTTCTTTAACAGATGCTATGCGTGGATTAGTGTAAAAAAACCCAGATATTGCTTTATTATTGAAAAGGGCTTCTAGATTCACGAAATTTGGAAAGCGGCTACAGTTACTCTTACGAATATATTTTTTTGGTTGTTTGTTTTTTAAAATTCTTCAGGGTTTCTAAGGGATCAAAGCGGGAAATTCTGATTGGGTAGGCATGGACAAGACTGATTGGCCCACCCTACCCGATCGGCAGCTAATCAGACCTCGGAGGGTATCCAATACCTCGGGCACAGTTTTTCTCAAATACGGACCTCCCGTCTGGTGAAAAACATTACCTAAATGTATGAGGTCTGCTGACCTACAAGCCCAGTATTTGCACTGTTGTATGTATTCCATTGGTAGTGTAGGTAGTATAGTCAAATATGGCACATAAATGAGCAATTATCAAAACGAAAAGAACACTTGTAAATAAACTGTTGTGAGGTACATAAGAAGCGTGAAAGACAATAAAGAAATCAAAAGTTCACCATAACAGTATAGCACTAGCTATGGGCTTTGAATATCGAGGGCCTGGCGTACATACACAAACCCTTTATCTGATCTTTACAGCTTGACGCCAAGTAACTGAAGGCATTGTGAACTTCGCGGATTTTGTTGTACTTCATGGATACCACTTGCCGACAAAGTCACATAATGGAACGAGGCAATTATGAATAATGTTATTTATTACACGACTCGGGCAGTCAGAGGGCCAATAACTAAAATCAACCAATCAAAATGCCCTATTGCCGGTCCAATATTCTCCAGTATTGGACCGGGCACTGTCCCGAATGGTCCCGAATGANAAGACCTCGGGCCGATATTCTCCCAGTACGGCCCTCGCGCTTGGTTAATAAGATATATGTACAGCAAAGAACCCATTACAAATTGCTTCGTTCTCGATATGTGACTTCGTAACTCACTTCATAGCGAACTAGCATCTTGAAGGCCCGAAGTTGGTTATCCATAGGATTTCTTTTCATTTTCTGCAATGACTTTAATTGGGATTGACCTTTAGGGAGCAATTTGTTTCTACAGGTCAGAGTGTGACTTAATTATTAAAACGTTTTCTTCATTATGTGTCGTTCTTATAAAGGAGATGCTAGTAGCATAACGAAATTTCAACCATGCATCAAAGGAAACAATTATTCTAACAGTCATCAGCTAACCTTGTGTCCTTTCGGAGGGGCAAGGTGACTCTGAAATTTTTTCTTTAGATTCGTCCGCATCGCTCTGTTTCTCCTCCTTGTGGTGGGCTTCCTCTAGCATAGGTTTGTCTCCTCTAAAAGTTATTTTTTCTTTACCTCCTTGTAGACCAGGTCCTGAGATGGACACACATTCGAAATGCAGATGAAGGTCAACTGTAAAAAAAAAAAAATGTGTTTAACGCATGCAGAATTAACAATAAAACAAAAACCTCTACAACTTGGTGGAGGGTGTGACGTTCACTTTAAAAATGTTAAGAAGTTAATTTTTCGTTGACTTTCTTTTAAATTTGTTATGACTATTGTGATGTACTATAATTTCCAGTTGTAAACGAATGGAATAGAAAAAATATAAAAGATCAAAAACAAATGCACAACTACAGGAGTTTTTCGTTCTACCTAAAAAGGAATTAAAAAATATTTTCAGACATATTGGATTGCGGGAAATAATGACATCAATTAAGAATTAGGGAAGCATTTTATATCTTGAGCTTTATTATTTCATTATGCTTAAAATGATGATATTGGCTCATCCTAAACTTTGTATAGATATAATGTCCACGTCAGGAAAATAAGCTTATGCTAAGACCCTCAATAAACTCGAAACACAAAAATATAAACCTAGTACCAATATTTTGCTCCGGTCACCCCGATTAAGAATACTGAAAGTGATAAATATTGTCAATTAGGGAAGCCTTTTTGGTGCGACTCTTCTTTTCTTAACGAGTAAAATTGTATCAGATTAGACCCTAAATGTAGAAATTGGGTGTGAAAATATAAGTCTCTACTCCTATGAAATAGTAATTTTGAACTGAGACAGGAAAACCAATTCATTGGAAACATGAAATTATTGCAAGCAAACTTTTGTGACAACAGTTATAATATTTTCTTAATAAAGATTCCATCTAACCTCCATCTCGCTTTTGAAGCTCTGTTGTTTTTGCTATTTTTTTTTCGGTTGAAAACCTTGGAAAACTTTCGATGCCCAAATTGTCAACTCCTTCCTGCAATTGAGTTAGACTCATCAGCTCCCTCCTGAGCGGATCTTTGATATCTTCTGCGATATTCCGAAAGAGCGTCTCTATGTGCTGGCTTTCCGTCATAACACCTCTTCCTTTCTCCACAAGCTCTTTCTGTTCTTTTCCTATACTTGTCTCGGTCTCATACCCATGCTTCTCTTTGGTTGACGCTTTCTTTTCCTTCATGGCTTTGTTGATCTCTATTTGAGTCGTGTACCACATCTTCAACTCTTCCCTCTCTTTTGCATCCATAACCACCGGCAAGTCGTTTAACAGGATCGCTATGGCTTCTTCTAGTTTGCCTTTTCTTTTTGAGCCGATTTTGCTTGCGATTCGGTGGAATACTTTCTTGACGTTTTCCCATAGAGAAAGAAACGACTCATCTAACATTTCCATTTTGTTAGCCAGGTGACTGAGGAGTGACCTCCCATAACAGTTGATTCTGGCTAAATCAGCAGTTGTACTTTGATCAGTTGTTACAGGCAGAGCATCCCATCCCATAATAGGAGGAGTAAAGTCACAAATTGTCATCAATAAAGTGAGTAGCAGAGCGAAGTCAAAATCAGTTGACTCTGCCGTTACTTCCAAAGAAGGGTAAAGACAGTCCCACTGTGCTTTAGTTATCACTGCAGACTTTAGCTTATTTACCGTTGTGGGGTCTTTCAAGATTTTTGGGAGGATACTTGGGGGATAAATCAGGTCAAAACTTTCCCTTAGCAGCTTTGTACCTTCACCGATTAAGAGCCGCGCGATGCGTATAACGTTTTTATATGGTGTAGAGTCTGTTTCATCTAGAACTGAGGTGGAGGCCATCGCAGTTAACAGATTTTGTCTTTAAAGGATATTGCTCTACGAATCTTGACTTCTTTGGATTTCCTGAAGGCTCTCTTTTTGCCTCAGATTGATAGCAGATTGGTCTTGCAGCATAAAGCCTGCAATATCAGAAATAAGAACAAAGTTTGTTGAAGAAAATATTTCAAATCTGCTTAAATTTTATTTGAACTTTGCAGAGGATGCTAAGGAGCGAAACTGCCTGTTTTTTTGTTAAGCGGTAAAATGAGATTCGAATCCCTAGAATGGTAATCAAACCCTGGCTGGCCTTCAGTAAACTTCTCTTGAAGTTGTACCCAGCTGGCACGAAGCTGATCAAGAACTAGTCAGTTATTCGGTTATACGCCGGTGTCTTAGCGAGTTCTCATTAGTTCATCCAGGGCTATTACAACTTCTTCTTTCAACTCTCTTTATCTCCTCTTTCTTAAGCTATAGACGTTTCCTTGCTTGATCATGAGAAGACATGTGCCCCTGAGATCAAAATTTTCGTACATCATTTTTTTTCCATTCGCGTGTTCAGTGTGTCTCCTTCACCTACTCTGCCGAATTTCAGTTTAGACCGAGCACCAGAAATATCTTTTTTCGGGCCCTTAAATTCACGATTTCGCGTCCGCCATTATTTGATCATGTTCCGGAAGTTGATCGCAGGACTCAGAGGAAGTGACGTGAAAGGTTCAACGCGAAAATCTCACATGGCAAAATGTCAAGCAAACATAACAGAGTGCTTTACTCTATTCTTACAAAAAGTAAACAAAAATGGCTGGGCATCGATGCGTAATTCAAAGCTGAAGTAATCGTGCCGACCATGCCGCAGGTATTTCTCTGCATCGGAGCCTTGCAAATAGATCAGAGCGGGAAAAACAGATGCGATTTGTGCGACCTCGCCGAGTAAACTTCAATCCTACAGAAATATTTGTGATCTACTCCGAACACTTCTCAGAGGACTTTAANAGGCCAACCTTGCGAGATTTATTCGCAAGACAAATGCGCCTCCTTTACACCTTTCTCGGACAAAACAAAGAACCACTTCCATTTCATATCTGAGTGCCGCCGGTTCAGTCTTCTATCGCCCTTCAGAGCTACTTGGAAAATTGTCATAACGCTACTTGCAGACTGCATCTAAGCCAAAAAATACTTTGTAACGCAATGAGGTCACGGCTCTAAAAGAGTTGAAACAAACTCTGCTTTAAACCTCACCGAAGCAACACAACAACAGTCATCATGAATAAGGCAGAAAACACAAAAGAGGCCAAAGTGCAACTCAACAACAGAGTTCACTTCAAACCTCTCAAAGCAACGATAGTAAAAAACACGTAGGAAAGGGTTAATGAGATCATTGACCAAATGCATCGGGGAAAACACATTAATGGCTTAGAAATGGCTTTCACGAACTCCCAATATCCGCCTTCGGATACACAATTAGCCATTTCCGAAAACTATTTTTACTAATCACCCGATCATTCTTACAAAAAAGGAAAATCTCTTACGACAAGCAAAAATACAGTTCGAAGGTGATAAAGCGATGCGACCACAAAAGCCACACGGGGAGTCCGTGCCGTTCTGTGTTTATCTTTACTCGCATGACAAAAATTCATCGTTTGTCGGCCTAAAACTATACACAGAAGCTTCAGATGATTTCTGGGACAATTCATCCCCTGAAAAAGTCGACATTTCCAGACTGACAACGAAACAGTTCTCAAAAAAGTAATATAAGTGATTCTCTGTGCAGCGAACAACCAGAGTTGTGACAAAGCAAAGCATAAGTTTGTTGAGCCTTTGACGTCATGATGACGTTTTTGCGGGCTCGGCTGGAAGATGTTTTCAGCAAATGGCGGATGGTTTTCGGACGACTTTGAAGCGGTAAAAATTGGTCATCGAAGGTTTGTTTTGAGTTTTTAATGGCAAAAAGGGTCTTAACTTGACCCAATTCAGCATTGTGTAAACAATTTAGGCCAAAATAAAATGGTCAATTTTCGTCTCAGGGGCACTCACACTTAGGGCTTTCAAAGCCCAAATGAAACTTCATTTCTCACACAAGTCGTGATCGTTATGTAAAACGAAGCATTAATGGAACAGATCTTGCGCGTCTTATTTAATTGTCAGAGTGGGAGCGTCACAAATTTAAAGTTTGTTTACTCGACACAAATCACGCGACCATCTGGTTCACATTGGGTTTTGCTTCCGGTTCTGAATGTTTCAAGAAATTTTTATTGAAGAAAATGAAAGCAATTCAGGTTATATGATTTTTTAAGGTATTATGATTATCAAGCACTTCATTTAAAGAATAGCATTAGCGTCGCTCTTACATATTTTCGTTCTGTGGGAGTCAGTCTACACGATGTTTTGACTGAAATTTATGCAAATTTTGACGCAACTTAACTCTCTCAATGAAAACAGTCATACAGAAATTCTGTAGTTGTTAAGTTTTGCTATCATCAATTTCATCAATTTCTTCCTAGACAATTACTAAAAATGCGTTAAGAGGGATCTAGGCTTAACTGTTCAGATTTGTGTGTTAGATGGGAACCGCAGCTTCATTTTGGTCGACGAAACGAAAACATTTCAATATATTCACAAGATTCAGTAGGTTTTAGGTTGCATCAGCACGCCGTGTCAAAGGGATTTTATCGAATCGTCACCAGCGCTTAACGTGTACTTTTATGAAGTAACTGCACTTACAATAAACTCCTTAGTTAAGAGTTACATCAAATTGTCACGGCACGGTTCTAAACGTCCTAGGGACGTATTAAAACTTGAGAAAATACACAATTCACGCCGACAATCTAAGCCGCCATGACAGCAGTGAAGTTCTGTGTTGATGACAACAACTTGTATCGTTTATGGCATGATATGTTAAACACCGACCAAACTGTTTCACCCAATAGGATACAGCGCAATACACCGAATGTTCTGTTATTTGCAATAGACTTGTTTGAAATATCAATTTTTTTTTTCAATAAAATTCTCAACCTACAAACTAATACAATCCACAAATTTTGAAACATTTACGGCTACCATGATATGATATGATTCACTGCGTAGATACTAATTGCGTCTCACTCATTTCACCAACTTGGCTAGATTTAAATCTAATTTTGTTGTCAAAATAAAGAATTCAAGAAAAATAATGTGAAATTTCTATTTATCTCGTAACGATGAAGCTATTCATCATGTGAAAAGAGTGGACAGTCTACTCAGCTGCGAAGGCAGCATAGGACCTTCATCCCGCGCTATTTGACCTTCTAGCTGCTACGTGCTTCAAATGTTTCTCTCGCAAATCGTAAATGATCGAAGCTCTTCTCAAAAGCCGATTGGAACAATTCGAAAACATATTTTAAAGCAAATCATACAACACCGAAAGAAAAAGATTGATAAACGTGGCTGCCGGTCCAACAGCCAGATTTGCCGAAATTAGGGGTCGCGAGACAACTATGAAAGCGGAATATTTGAAATAAAATCGAAGCAGGGACATACATCTATATCTTACTGATGCTTTCTCCTAGAGGATAAAACACCTTTTAAGTTGCTATGAATTTCAGTATCATTAAACCGAGCTCTTTCAGGTACTTGCAGCGTTTGACATTTTAGTGTATTCGTTTGCTTGAAGCTTTAGTGTGTTCATTTGCTTGAAGTTTGAAAGTATTCGGCGTGATTGGAGTTTGCGCGCGGTGAAGCGTCGTTATTACCGTTCTCGTCGTGAGCTCGGTAGATTCGAGTCAACCGAATTTTTATCGAACTTTCTGCAATCGGAATCAAACTGGTTGCTTCTGAGTCTGAAAAGGGTCGAAAAGGGGAGAGCAATCGAGGAGTAATAAGCTCGGATGAAAATCAAGTCAGAGGGTGAATGGAAATTGGAAAATGAGTGAATTAATTCTCACAATCTAATCCTCTATCCTTTATCGTCTACCTGAATTACTTTTCATATAATTTTTTAGCGAGGGGCTTGATTGTCTGTGAGAATAAAAATCAACTGCTTGTGATCTGAGATGGCCATCTATGACAGAGGTCTTATTGATAAATTAGTAAGCTGCCTTCGCCTCTGCATGGCGGCACGTCAAACAAATAATGCTTGGTGTTGTTTACATTCAAAATATATTACTTTCTCTTCTCACCTTCAGTTTCTTTTTATAATATGATCTGTACTTGATTCTTGTAAAGAAAACTGCGAAGCCACAGGACAAAGCTGAAAGGTTTGCTTATTCTATGATGAAGCGCTAGTACAGATTCCTAGAGCTGACACAGCTTTGCAACATAATATTGCGAAGATATGAATAATTTAAAGGAGTGCCTTAACGACGTAGACCTACGGAGGCTTCAAGAACCGCATGGTAAAAGAAGCGTGAAAACGAGGCCAGGGAGCTATGTAATTTTTGCATTCTGATCAATATATTTTATTTTTTGATATTATGGTCAGGGTATTTGCACCCAGCCAATCAAGCAGACCAGTTGTGAAGACTAGTCAGAAATGCTGCAGGTTTGCTCGTAAATTAGGGTCCTAGGGGACGCTGGGATCTGTAGACGATGAGCTGTTGGTGAGTATGACTACAAAAGTCAAGCGAAAATATGGTGCCACACAGCATGCTTACTGACGACTTATAGGGAAATTCATGAAAAAGCATTGGTCAGATGGGAAGAAGTCGTCGTAGTATTAAGGGCGAACTTGTTGGGTGCAAATTTTCAATGAGGCAAAACTTGTATCTACATTAAAGAAACATGTACGTTCAGCTTGAAAATACATCTGATTTTTATTGACCTTTCATGCACATTTGGCTATGACAAACTTCTTTCTAAGGCCAATGTATATTTA